AGAGGTAATACTTTACTGGCATAATCGCTGGTTTTTGGGCACTGATCTGAATTTTTCTTTCGCTCGTTTCACCCTCGTCAAAGGGGTGTATTTCCGAAAAGTAACCTAAGAACTTATGAACTGATAGACTGTTGTTCCAATGGTGATCAACAGATAGATAGCGCAGTTACAGAACATCACGTTAGATTCGGTCAGAGGTGCATTTACGAGAGCATGCTGCTCTGGATAAGATTTCCAGCTTAGTTAGGTAGAATACTTTCAGAACAAACAAACTGAGCTAGTTTTGAACTGAGCAAATGAAAGAGTAATGTGTTGAAGCTGTAGGTCCCATGTAGTACTAGTTTCCCATTGGGTGTTAATTACCCTATAACCCACTGTAGTTTGCCCGCGCCTTCGATCTATGTACCAAGTTTCATGTACACCAAGCGATTTAAAAATAAATTCGGTTATTTTCAAGGAGCTCGCCTCCGAACTAACTTTCCTGAAAACCTTTTCTTATTGCAGAAAACACACTCTACTCTTTGGATCTCTACGGCAGGGGATACAGACTGTGAGTTGCTGTGTCAGTTATTCATGACAAAGTTTTTAATAAAGATTACTTCAAACTTTGCATTGTTCTTCTAGGAATTGTGAACGATTGTTAAGATCAAAAGTTTGTATTATTTGAGCTCCCACACATAGGAATATGCACGGTAATGATAAAGAAAAGTTAACCCAGTCAGTGGAACTCATTTTATTAGCAAATTTGTAGAGCGCCCAACAAAAATTTGGTTCCCCGCTATGAGCCATTGTCTGTTGACGCCTGCAGTTGCCTGGAAAAAGTCTCTAAATTAATTAACTTTAACAATACCATGGAATGGCTGAGAGAGTTTATAATAGGGAGAGAAGAACTTCAGTACCAGTGGCATCATAATGGGTCTCCTAAATAACTGGGAACATCGTCAGACACACACTACACCCATCTAGATGGCAAGCTTAAAGAGAGTGAGGAAGCAGTTGTGCATTTTCTCCCTAAGCGACAGCTCTCCCACAAGTTTAACGTATGGCACTTAAAAACTAGCGGGCAGCTAACGTGGAGCTGCTTTGTAACAGAGTGAGAGAGCGAAAGAGAGAGACGCTTGAGTAATGATTTGAGTAGGAAAGTGTTGTTAGAACTATTGAGCGCTTCCAAGGCGCTAAATACGTCATCAGTAACTAGCGTGCAGTACTCATATCTCGCAATACAACTGTTGAAGATTAAATAAAAAAAAAAAATCTCATTGTGACCTTATTCTTTTTCCCCCCCTTATTTAGATTAATTATTGTGTTATAAAAATTTGTCTCGTTAAAAGCGTCCTATATATGTATATATGTATGTATATATATATGTATATACATAATTTTATTCTAGTAACGCCGTAAAAGTAGGAAAATTGTATGGACATGGAAGTTGGTTCATGTGATCTTTTTAATTAATATTTATTTTTACCGTTATTATCTGGTTTTGTTTACAAACATTGTTTACATATCCATGAGCTCATTTTTAGCGTAATTATTTCTTTGTCAGAAACATAAACATTGTAAACAAAGCCAACATGTGTGTACACTCTAGCATACATGCATACAAACGCGTATATAGAAACATACATACATAAATAGGTAAAGAAAAGTATCACATGAATCTGGTGTTCTAAAAAAAATTAAAAAAAAATAAATAAAATAAAAAAGAAAAAAAAAAATTTAAAAAAATTTGTTTATATATGAAAATTATATCATGCGACAAATGTGGCACAACTCAAATCAGCCCGCAATTTGTTTATATTTTCTGAAAGCTCTTATATTTAGTAGCAAATGCGCTATGGATTTCCAAAAATTACATACATATATATGAATCTTTTAGAGCTCCTTACGTTTAAATTAAATACATATCTGAGTAAAATAATACTGTTTGAAAAACAATTTCGTAGAATATAAATATGTAGGTATGTACCGAGATCCATTTTCGACCGAGTTTCTATACCAATTTTTGGTTTCTCTCATGATATATTTTTCCATTAATTGCAGGCACCTAGAGCTTATTCGAAGTTACCTCTAAACGGCGAATATATTTTTATGAGGAGCCATTACTTCATGACACTCTGGACTGACGAATGTCAATACGTAATGCTAACCACTCGGCTTTTGGCGACGACTTTACTTGAAGAGTTTCCTCAAAAAAAGCACGTTCTGTAGTTCATTAGCGGGTTTAAAATCTATCTGAAAATTATTTTTCCTCAGCAGACTTTACTAGAAGCTTCTTACAAATCAAATAATGGCGTAGTAAAAAGTAATCCATTATTTTTCAAACAGATGGTGTCATTTAACTGTATCTCGCGTTGTATAAGTCCGCTCGAGTTCCGCTAGTTGGTGCTGGAAATATGACTTTTTATGCTAAAAAAAAAACTTTTCTGACTGTTTTCTGTTTGACTAATTGAGCGTGCGGACACTAGCCAAAGAAAGTATGCTGCTTTTTAGTGTTTTTCTTTGGCGAAAAGGAGACCCAGACAAGTTCGATGTAAAAAATGCTACACGGAGTGGAAGGCCAATTGTCGAAAATGTCATTAAAATCATGGTCATTGTCATGTAAGCTCTGTTTCGGTTGCCCAAGAGCAAAACCGGACTTGGTAGATATGCCACTTTAAAAAGGAACTCGCGGAAGTCGCATCAAAAATGTTTGTTATAGGTGTTGTTGTTGTTGTTGTAACCGCAAATTATTCCCCGAATTGGTTTTCGGTGAATGTTGCGAGAGTGGCAGTCCTTGGCCGGATTAAAATCCGGGTCGTTCCAGTATAAAGACCCGACTGTCGCGGGAACTATTGGATTTTAGTCGCCTCTTACGACAGGCATGCCTTACCACGGGTAAGTTCTTAAGCCCCTAACCCGCAGGATCATCGTAAAAAATGCTACGCTCAGCAGTTTGTTATAGGTCCGTACCGCCGCTATGGAAATATTTGGTTTTCGACTGCGCCAGAAAAAGAGTTGGTACCATAAGGAATGTCAAACTGCAGTTGAGAAAAAATAGACTGCCCAACTGGTTGCCTTGAGATCGACGAAAAAAGGTGGTATGTACTCGATATGCTCCCAGAGCTGAAGAGGAAAGCCAGGGATGCATTGGCAGACAAAAAAGGGGAACGCCAGAGACATTGGCAGACAAAAAAGAAAAGGGGGCGAAATGCGTGAGTATGGAGAGCTTGAGAAACAGGCCGAGTGGTGTAATGCTCGAAAGTTTCACAAAAAGATGCGATGACTCATAGCAGTTTTCAAGTTGGTAATATGTAAGTGATATCCAGCAAATACTTGCTTTACGATGGGAACACTACTCCAGTGTACGAAACGACAGTGAAATTGCAACACACGGAGATGGTGAACTCGAAAAGACATTCCAAATAGCGATTGCCCGTTTAGAGAACAATAAAGAGCATGAAGTTGATAGTGGAGTAATACAAGGATGTCGGCGAGGATCTCACAAAGTGCTTACAGTTTCTTGGTGCTACATACGCCAAATCTTGCCAAAGGCCCGTGTGAAAAGATATGATGCACGTCATCTTCGAAACCCCTTTTAAAGCTGTCTTTGCCAGCACAATAAGGTGCAGCTGCTATCGGCATCGGAAAAGACCTGTCCACGCAGTTTGGTACCAAGCGAGGTTACAGAAAAGTTGAATTCTTTAATTTATTGCTGGAATAAATAATTCTAGCTGCAGATTTGACTAGAAAAGTTGGAGTCTTCTAAAATTGTGAATAACTGCTGGTGTATGCTTAAACCAGGCTCGATAAAGGAGAAAACGAATCGGTCTGGTACTAAACAAGAACAATCTACGGTCGTCAAGCAAACAGAGTCATAGTGCTGCTGACTCGGCTGTCACCTCTCTATGACTCTTGACTCATTTTGAAGTCACAATAACCTCGTCTATCTTAAAAACACCAATGACAATAACAGTCTTGAAATCCAACGGAGAGTCACTCTCGCACACAGTTGCTAGTTTGGATTGCGTAGGCAGTCGAAAAGTAAAGTGCTCTCTCTCTACATACGAAAATCAATCTCTGCAAGTTCCTCTTCATTACTGTGCTGCTATACGGTATGGATGCTTGGACGATAAAGATCATGTGATGCGTCGGCGTTGGGAGTTTTCGAAAAAAGTTTTTGCGCTCGCTGCGCATTGCGAATGGTTATAAGGCAGCCGGTCAACGAATCTAGAGGCAGTCGATACAGCATGTGAGTAGGATGGCGCAGGTGGAGAGAGAACTGCTGCTAGCATTTCCAACTGGCGACGAACAGTGAAGAGAAGGAACGAATGGTGCGCTATTGTTGATTCGGCTAAAATAGGTGGTGACTACACCAGCAAACAAGACGATGTTTTTTATTAAATGGCATAAAGAAATTGTATAAATTAAAAACAAATTATGTTAAACATCATGAAATAAGGAATAATAATAAAACAACAACAGAATGCTGCTGATTTTAATATAAAGAAATATTTTAAATGTCTTCTCAAAAAAAAATAGCAAAGACCAATACCATAAAAGAGAAACAAAATGTATTTAATTGTGCAAAAATAGCAATTCAATTTGTTAAACATAAAATAAATTTATTTCTACAGCTAAAATTGTGCTTAATACTAAACAATAAGTGTTTAAAAAAAGTCGTAAAAATAAATTTCTCGCTACAAACGCTACAAAATATCAAAATGCCCAACCACAACCAAGCAAAGAGAGAAAAAAAGTGTAATTTATTTATATAAAAATGTGCAAAAACCATTCCACAACATACATATATATGTACGTACTGAAATTGCGCATCGCAAACACAAAAAAAAAATAAAAAATAAAAAATCCATCAAAACAAATGCACCAATTTGACCCAATCAAACAATTAATTAATCATCTTTTTTTTTGTGTGTGGAAGAAAATAACACCAACAACCAAGCAATTTGGTAAAGGAAAAAGAGTAGAAATAATTTTTATAAAAATTTCTACTTGCATACCATATCTGGTTTGTAGTAGACTTGTTGCGTTGACTGCGTTGCTGTATGCAGCATTGCGTTCTTCAGCGATGCCGTCCTATCCGGATATAGGCCATTCAGGCCATTCAGGCCACTCACGCCGTTCACCATGCACTTGGTGCCATTGCTGCTGTTAGCATTGCTCGTATCAGTCTTCGGCAGTGTAAATGTCAATGTGCTCGTTGAGTTCACTTTCGAATTGTGTGATAAACGTTTCATATGCGACCACATTTGCTGCCATGGCGGTTGTGGTGTTGCCACATTACGCTATTATATTGCATATTTATTTATTCATATGTGGTTTGTTGTTGTTGGGTTGATTGCAAGTAATTGTTGATTGCAAATTTGTTTATTGAAAATTTTCCATGTTCGAGGCCAATTTGTTTTTGAGTTGGTGAAAAAATGGAAATAAAATAATTTTTTTTTTTGATATTAAGAAAAATCAAATATGTATATAAATGGGGTTTCCTTATGAATTAATAAAAGTAAATTTTCTTTAGATATAAATAAATAGTTAAAGAAAACTACTATCTACTTCTTACTGAATTAAAAAAGCTCACTAAAATCATTTTTTTTTTGATAGAAAATAAATATTATTATATTTTTAATGCGTAAAAAAATTATAACTAATATTAAAATTATTGAATATGTATTTTTTTACTTGGAAAATATAAACAGTTTTGCGCCTGAACAGTAATTTCTCATCTATGGAGTGTGAGTCTGCAACTAACAGTATTGAACAGTCGGCCGACGACGTTACGGCAAGCGACATCTGCCACTGCTAAGTTAGCAGCCATCATTTGAAATACCGCTCAACACCGGAGAGAGAGAACTAAGAATATTACTACAATAAATAGCTCAAAGCAAAATGAATGCAAAATTAGCCATTCATTTTTGAAAATATAATTAATTTAATTTTTACGACTGTATATCAAATTCTTTAATTAAAGAAATTTTTGATTTTCCTTCAATCAAAAAGGCATAAAATATTAAAAATTTCAATTTTATATAAGTTTATAAATTTAAACAAAAAAATAAGATTTATTTTGCACTTTTTTTCCAAAAAAAAATACTATAGATATTTTTAACTATTAAACTGATAAATATTTTTAATCGCGAAAATATTTAAAAGCTTTAAAAAATTATAAAAATTATTTAAAGAAAATCAAATCAAGTTAAGCTAAACCAATTTAAATTTGTACTTTTTTTTAATTTTTTTTTTGATATTTTAGCAGTTTTTGATTCATCATTTTAAATATTTTTAATTTTTTTAATAAAAATCATATAAATTAATTAAAATGAAATAATTTAAAAATATTTAAAAACTCTAAAAAAATTTTAAAAACTATTTAAAGAAATTCAAATCAAGTTTAGCTAAACCAATACGAATCAACAATTCAAACTTTAATCAAGCAGATTAAAAAAAAATAATTTCTTTTATTTTTTTTATTTTTTTTTTTAATTTTTTTTTTTTGATATTTTTAACAGTTTTTTATTTATTTTTTTTTTATATTTTTCATATTTTTTTTAAATAAAAACAATATAAATTAATTAAAATAAAATTGTTTAAAAATATTTAAAAACTCTAAAAAGTTATAAAAAATTATTTAAAGAAATTCAAATCAACTTTAGCTAAACCAACAACAATTCAAACTTTAATTAAGCACTCATATAAAAATATTATATTTTTTAACACATTGCAAAGTAGGCCAACAAAAAAATATACAGTATAGAGCAAAAATTTAGCATTACACCGGCAAACGTGTATGCTGAGATTTGAAATTATATAACTGTCTTCCATTTCAGTGAACCAAAAGTGCTGTTTTGCTCACGTTAGCGTAGAAAAAAATTTCTAAAATTCGCCACAAACTAAGCCACAATTTTAAATGAATTTAATTGGCAAATTTTTTTTGTCTCTATACTGTAAATTTCCAACGACAGAAGCTGCATTCTTTATTGCTTTATATGGGTAAATTATGACATACAAAGCAAAATTGTGAAACCAATCAATCAGCTGATAACAGCACAGTCGTTGCTCTTATGTAGTATTGTTGTACGCAGTTTTTTAAATTGTTTTTTTTTTTTTAGCTAATAAAAGTAAAAAAAAATACTAAATTTCGGAGTATAGTCACTTAGTTTATAACTAATTTCATGATAATGACTTCGTCATAGTTTCCATTTAACAAAATTGCATACCTTCATATGGGTACGCACATACATACAAGTATTTAGGTAGCTCGTGAATACCGCTAATTTAGTTACGATTGCACGTAACGGGGGACTTATCTATATTAATTTTTTGTTTTTTTTTTTTGTTTTTTTTTTTGTTTTATTAATTTTTTTTATTATTTTTTTTTTTTTAATTTTTTTTATTATTTTTCCTTTTCAAAGTGTGACAACACATTTTTAGTGCTAATTTAAAGAGGAAGAAAACAAATATTTAGCAGAAAATGAGCAAATTAATTTTTTAAAAGGCATCTAACGTCACGGCAAAAATATTTCCAATATCTGTTTGAATGATTATAAATATTTATTCACATTAATCGCTTCGCATTGTCAAACTTTAGCGCAAATATGATTATGATGATATCATTTACACTCAAGTGCGCTGGTTTAGTTCAATTACACACTAAAATAGTACAAAGCAAGGTTATGTAAATTGTTAATTTTTTATTGTTACTGATAAGAATCGGTTTTTTTATTAAATATTTTTTTTTCAAATATTTTTTTTTTTCATTATATATTTGCTGATAACGGCGAACAAGTGCACGTTTTGACTTAATAAACAAATAATTAGTTATTTTGAAAATAATTATTTTCGTATATACGAGTACTCGTATATGTGTGTATGTAAAACACAATATTTATGCATTTTTTTTAAGTTTGTATATTTCCAATTAATATAAAATGTTATTAATCATTTACAAATTAGTTTCAGACAGTGATAGTAGGCAATAATGATTGCCAGAGAGAGAGAGAGAGAGAGAGAGAGAGAGAAGGAGAGAGAAATAATTTTCTCCCAACGAAAACTTGTATCTTCAATCATATTTATGCATACGTCTACAATTTCATATTTTTTTTGACAAAAATTTTCGAATCAAAGAAAAGTAACTAAGAGATCCAGGCAGAGAGAGAAAATGATTTTGCTTATAAGCAGCTGCAGCAACCACGAATTAACGGTACAGGTGCAAGCAGCTGACTAACGATATACATATAATGTGCTCCCTTACAGACTATATAACGCTGGGTATCATGAAACTAGCGACTAGTGGCTGTCAGTGATACCAAATTAGTGACTGGTGGCAAATCCTAGATGATTTCTGGTCACCAGTTGATACTTTCTGCGAACCAGTAGGCCTCTGACAAATATAGTATCCAACGAGAAACAAACAATAGTTTCTTTTTTGTTTTTGAACAATCAATAGCTGGCTGGTGGTGATGATCGCAGCTGGTTTCGAAAGTTTCGGGAAAGGCTTAAAGTAATAGTAAATCAGACCAATGCGATCGGCTTCTTTGCTTACGCTTCACTTCTACAAGTTTAATGTGCAACTTCATAATTAAGTTCAATTCTGTGAAGCATAAAATGATGGTAAACTTTTCCTTTCTCCGCCAGTTTTTTTTACTTAGATAAAATTAAGACCTTATAGTCGCTACTTCCTGCAGTAGCATTGGCAAATTTTTATAGCAAACCAGCGACCCGGTCAAACATTATTGTGACTTTCGGTATTTTGTCCAAGTTTTTATTAGAATTGTTATTGCAAAAGCGTATAGAAAACCTTTAATTTTTTTGTAATTATATAACGATCTAACTACTTTTTAGTATATGACGATTGTTATTAGCCAATTACTTTCAATCTGTCAATAAATAGTTTTATTTTTATACCTAATTAATTTATTTGATAATTTAGTAATTTTTATTTAATTTTATAATATAAAAATTTATTCCCTAATTTATTATTTTTTTTTTGTATGAAATAGAAGTTTTTATTTACTTATTGATATGTTAATTATTTTATTTTTTTACCTATTTAATAAATATTTTTTTTTTTTTATGTGATTTATTTAAAAGATCTATTTATTTATTTTATATATTTGCAAAAAAAAATTATCAAACAAATTATTATAATCTGTATTATTATTGATCTTTATTTTTTACATTTATGTAATAATTTGTTTGATAATTTTTTTTTCTTTTTGTATTTTATTGAACAACGAATTTGTTTATTAATTTTTTTCAATCATTTTTTTTTATTAATTTTTAACAAATTTATTTGTAAAAAAATTATATACTTAATTATTTAAGTATTAATTTATTTAATAAATTATTTATTTTTATAATTTATTATCGAATCCATTTCTTTATTTATATATAATATGCGCTTTGTAACCGCTGAAGCGACTTTGCTAAAATATTTATTTAGTTAACATTTTATTTGTTAGATAATTTTAATTTTTTTTTTAATTTTATTCAACTTTTTATTTATTAATACATATTTGTTTTATTTATTGTAATTTAATGCATTTATTTATTTTATATTATTTACTTAATAAATTTTATATTAATTCATTCAACTCGTTTTGTAGGAATAATTATTTTTAAGCTGATTAAGAAGCATTTAATATTTATTAATTAATATTTATTAATTAATTTTTGAAAATTTCGTTTTTACTATTTTATCTATTTTTTATTAATAAATAATTTAGATTAATTAATTAATTTTATTTATTTTTAAAATATTTGATAATTTAATATTTAACATATTTAGTTATGTCTTAAAAAATTTATATATGTATATCTATATATACTGTATAATTGTTTGATTATTATAATAATTTAGTTGATTAATTAATTTTTTACTTTGATTAAAATAAACATTTATTTAATTACTTGTTCATTGATTTAATCACGATAATTTAATTAATTTGTTTTTAATTTTCGTGTTTATTTGTCATCTATTTATATATATATATATATATTTTGTTTTCTTTTGCTTTGAATAAAATATACATTTACTTAACAGTTTGTTAATTGATTTATTTAATAACTTAACAATTAATCTGTTTTTAACTTTCGTGTTTGTTCATTAATAAGTCTTATATTTTTTTTTACTATTATTAAATTATATATTTATTTAATAATTTGTTTTTAATTTCAATGTTCGTTCTTTAATTTTAAAAAAATTTTTATTTTTTTTCAATTTATTTAACAATTAATCATAAATTAAATAATTATTTATGTTAGTAACTGTTTGTTTAATTTTTTTTTA